CAATAAAAGAAACAAACATTATTATTTCTAAGAGGCCAGTGCAGGACAGAGAAAGTGGCTCCTCCCACTTGTCAGGTGCCAGTTGACCATGGATAAGGATTGCACTGGTACACCATACGCATGTGCATGTGATGGGAAACACTTAGAGAGAAAGAGTGGTCCCATTAGCCGACAATGCTGTGGTCCTTGGTGCAGGGGTCACTGAGGGGAGAGGGCCAGCTGTTCGGATGTGTCACTATCACTCATGTGGGACTGATTGGATGTTTGGCAAAAGTCAGTTAAAAGTTTTCTACAGTGTTTATAAATATAAATAATTTTGTAGGAGTTGGAACTTTGATTACATGATGAAAAATTCACAACTGCAACTATATGCCAGTGACACCTAAATGGCCAGATAGGAAGACAAAAGTACATTGTTTTATTGTTATTATTTTATTGTATGTTTAGAAAGTTCAAATTATTCACAAAAACATGACTGAATGATGAATAATTACCATAGCAATTAACAAATAAAAAGATGAATATGTTTTTTCAAGCATTCTGCATTATAGGCACACTGCACAACTTTTCTGATGGAGGGTCCGCCAACTGCTTGTCTCCATGGAGATGTTATTGTTTTGCCTAGAATGTTCCATAGTATATAACATTAAACATTTCCATCTAGCATTTATTCATTACGGGTGTTTCTATTGCTCAAAAATACAATAATTCTTTCTGTGAATAAAGGCGACTCTCCGCAGATCTGAATTGTAATGTAGCATAGTGCTGTAACCTGTTTGTCCCCCTTGTGATAGATACATTTAATCTATACTGTGGACCATTCTAGACAAGGCAATAACATTTCCATGGAGAAAAGCAGATGGCGGACCTTCCACTAGAAATGCTACGCAGTGTACCTTTACACTATAACTTATGTAGATCATGATTTTATTTTGTTAATTGTAAACAGCAATATTAATTTAATGCTGATTAACAATAGAAGTGGGTTTATTAAAGTTCTGTTCCAAACTGTAGATCACATAAGCCCATCTCTTCACAGTGGCATTTTACCAGAGCAAGCAGCCGATTGTAGTTTAGCTTTTGGATTAATTGACTCAAACATACATGAATCAGTCAAAATACAACCCTTGAATAAGTGGACACCATTAAAACATAATTCAAAGGTCACAAAGGTAAATTTTACATAATATACCATTTTAAACAAAATGTTATATATTTTGAATGGTGATAAATCCTCAGAATGTCACCTATAAACAAGTAAAGTCAAACCCAATGCAAAAAATACCAAAAGGTTAAACTGTAATTTTCTTAATGTAGCCTTTAGGAGAACAGGCACACATTTTTAGCTTGAGCTGTGGACATAGGCCACACCCTGGTCATATACAAATAAGTATTTATAGGCGAGCATTATGAATGTATGCGAGACAGTAGCAAATCTGGTCTATTGTGTTCTGGCATCACTTCAGCTGTTCTCTGTAAGCAGCCACAGTACAGGCAATGGCACGCGCTACACATGGAAATAGTACATCCTGTCTAAAATCATTAATACTTTACTTACATAAATACATACATACACTTATAATTATTAGAGTATATTTTGACATATTCATAGATACTTACTTTGATGTAAATTGAGTGAGTGCTATTACTTATTTCAAAGGGCAGCTTGCAGTAATCAATGTTACAGAAACCTCCTCATATGCATTGATTTCACAGTTCAGCTGAGCCACAATGTTGCTTTCCAAAACTATGAATCAACTAGAACAAATAAAGTTTTTTTGAATTGTGTTACGTATACAATATTACAAATATCAAAGTGAAACAAAGAATAAGCCCGACTCTATGATGATTACTAGATAATGAATTAAAAAGAACTCTTACTCTTTGTTCTTCTTGAATCGAGTGATGATTTAATCCCAAATGTTGTTGCTTTGTTTGCAAAAAATAAACAACTTAAAGTTCCATCGGATCAAAGAAAACTGTTGACAAGTTTTGGAAAGACTTCAGAACTGACATAAATATTTGCGAGGTAACTAGGAAACACTTGCACTGATTGAAGAGACTACAAATTATAAGGCCAGGAAGGTGGTAGTAAATAAAAGTAAAAGGGGCGGGTGGGGGGCATGGGAGGGGCAGGTCAGCTGGATGACTACACGGCTATTATGAGCACTTTATTTTCAATTAAGCCCTTGTGTGTGTCTGCTAGAAGCTCACTTTGTGCTATTTTTGATGATGCAGGGACTTCTCAGCCTGGAAATTGATTGGTTAAGCAAACGTCGGCAACTTTGCTCATTTAGGCAACATTGCACTTTGACATTCATAAAGTAAATGAAAATGTTTAGGGAAAGTGGAAAATTGGACAGGAAAATCATAGAAAATGATTTGCTCTGAAGTTCACTGAGCTGTGATATTACAAGAAAATGAAAACTAAAAAAATCCTCATATCTGTCTCTTTATTTATTTGTTTATTTACTGTTTAAACAAGTAAAAATGGTGTTCAATATTAATTTCCTGAACAATAACAATACAGACATTTCATCATTGCTGTTTAACACAAAACAATGTCAAATTTCTTTGTCAAAAAGTCTAAACTTTGCTCCAAACTGCTTTCTTTTACTGACAGACAATTGGCTCTCCATTAAAAAAAAACAAAAAAAAAACTTGCTGGTGGTTGACAATTAGAAATGACTGAATCTTAAACTTTATTAAAATTCGATATAAGTTTCGACATATAGCTGTAAGTGAACCATATTCTTCTTAATGCCTGGTGGTGCCACTCAAGATCAATGCATTCCTGAAATTTAAGTGTGTATGTCTCTGTATGTGACCATTACTTTAAATAGAAGTGAGGTTGACCAAGGTAAAACCTGACCTAAGAAAAATACAAGTCTAATGGCTTTAGTTCAAAGTTCAATGGAATTTATGACTGCGTAACTCTTAAACACAACTTATAAATAGAAAGACCATAAACTGTGAACTAGACAACTCAATTTTAATGTAGGACTACGTACAACTGATGGAATGGGCACTCCATCTTTCATTCATAATATGGTATACACAAGTAAGGATGCAACTAACGATTATTGTAGTAGTTGACTAATTAGTGATTATTTTTGATTAATTGTTCTAGCCCTATACACAAGCTTAGTTCTGCTGTGTGGTAATTTATTGTGTTATTATTGGGTTACTGAGGACATCATAACATAAAAGGCTAATCATATTTACTACAGATGATGGGCAGTTAAAATGAAGATTATTTTTAGCAGTGATTTCCTGGATCTAGTCATTCTCAAATTCAGTTTTTGCTGTTTAATGGCACAGTGAAAATACAGTGAATCAATGTAATCAATACAGAAATCTGGCTCTTGCCCCCATCTGGGAGTATGACATCATCAGTCTACAGTCTGAAGACTGACCTTTTTTTTAAGTCTTCCTTGCATCCGCATTTCTAAATCTTCCTCTTAAGTGAAATAATAAACTTGCTCATATGTGTTGCACTCTGAGTTTATCATGCAATATATTTTCATTTGTCAAAAAATGTAGCTGCTTGTTTCTATAAAAATAGAATGTTCCACAGCATAGATTAAACCTATCTATTAAAGCACCGAACTACATTACAATTCAGATCTGAGGAGAGTCGTGCCTATTCACAGAAGGAATAGAAATACCCAAAAGGAATAAATGCTAGCTTCATATGTTTAATGTCATTCCAAGCAAAACAATATCATCGCTATGGAAATGTGCAGGTGGTGGACCCTCTACCAGAAAAGTTGCGCAGTGCACCTTTAAACAACCAGCTAAATTGTTCAACACTACTCTTTCCTTCTCCTCTACAGATTACGTTGTATGTCTATGTATGCACCCACAACAGAAAGCGGCTGTCTTGGCTCCTCTTAAGCGGATACAAAGGGCAGATTTTAAGTTGCATTATGCGTATAGAGGCCCAGTTGTTTGAAACATTTTGATAAAAAAGAGACAGATGAGATCATATTCTTCCCAGCATCACTCAGCCTAAGGTGCAGAAGAGTGAGAAATCTGAAAACATGTGTCTCGTGTGCATTAGAAAGACTGAAATCCATGAGGCAGTACTGAGTTACACCTCTAATGGATTCACCAAGGAGTCCACTTTACACTTTAATCCAATCCCTGAGAAAGCTTTTCAGCTGTGAGAGGAAGTGGACATAACTAAGAGGGTGTCAAGTAAGAGGAGTAAGTGAGACAATAACATGGGCAAGTGTATTAGTAAGTCCATAGTTTAACTCATTAGATTACAAGAATGTGGCACTGGCATAGAATTAAAACACCTTCCATTGGGAATATACAGTATGTAAAGGAAACCTACATAAAGTTTACATTTTAAAGGTGCACTATGTAACTGTTCCATGTTTCCATTGAAAATGGATTCCTAGTGTGAATGGGCTTGCCAGTCTACTGATCTGACCTGTAACCACCCAAACCCAAGTCTGGTAGTTCCACCTTCTTGCTTACTTGAGAATAAACAGATTTACACACTGTGGAACACTCTGTGGAGATAAACAGGTACCACACAATTGCATATTTTATATTCCATAAACATGACCAATTCAAATATTGCTATTTTACAATGATTCATTTGTAGTTACAAAAACACTGGACTTGATGGTCCAATTGAAAGGAGCCCCAAGAGTCCCACATTCAGGTTGCCAGTTTCTGTGTTAAAATTCAGTTGTTTTAAACCTAAAATGACTCTACTGTGATCTGAATTCTCCCTACCTAAACCCCAGCACCAGCAGCCAATCATAAACCAGAGCTAGTGCAGCCTCTGAGTGAATTCTAGAGAATCTGAGTGTTCACATGAGGCTGTCCATATACTGAGAATGAGAAAATCTTGGGTCCTCTGCAGGTTATGGCACTGGCTCTTGTAATGTTTCTTTTTTTTTTTTTTTTTTATTGCAAGACCACAACCTGCATACCGTTCCTTTAATAAACTAGTGAATATTTTTTAATAAATAAAACAAACATCTCTTTGTTACCTTTATTGATAACAAGTTGATCTTCCAAATGGAAAAATATGATGTATATATCACCATTTACATTTTCACATTTTTTTTAAATATCCCCGAACAACATAGTGACATTTTTCTGGTTAAAAACTATGTTAAGAAATAATACAGGAGATACATCTAAACTGAGAGCTTAAAAATTCTGAACTGATTCTTTTTTACAATACACTACTCACTTTTAAATCATGTCCTTACAAAAGCCAAAACAACTTTTATGTTACAGATACTTTCTTGAATACAGTGAGATAAAACTGCTACCGTGGAATGAAATAAAGGACTATTGTTCCCTCTGCACAAATCCCAAAGGTGAATAAATACAGATGTTTGGAATGAAGCATTTAAATCAAGTCTAAGAAACTGGTGCAATTGCAGTGCAAACACAGCCATAAGAAAGCCTTGCTGGTGAAATGTCCTTGGAGATATTTTTCGGTATGGATTCCTATCAAGTATTCAAATATACATCTCCCTTGTAATGTGACCTATAGGAAAACGTGGGAATGTCAAAGATGGATCAGAAGAGCTTGATGATGCTCTCCCTGGACTTGCCAACTCCAACCCATTTGACTAAAAACAAAAGAAAAAACATGTTAAAAGGTTAGCAAAGCAGTGAGATCAGTCTGGCTTTAAGTGCATATGACAGATTTTCATGTTTTTCTAATAAATACTTGCTTTGGTGGGATAATAGTATCTATTTATCATAGCTTTGCATTAATTAAGTGCAGGTTGAAAAGAAGAGTACAGTATTACAGGAAGTAGCAATAAGTGGAAGTGAAGTTAATAATAATGTCATCTGTAATGACTTAACTACCTGTCCAAAATGAAGTGAACAGTGAGACAGTCTAATATTTAACAAAACAAAGGTCAGGTCATTTATTTTTACTAGTCTAATCATAAGAAAAGGCCAAAATTTTTAGTAAAACCTTGAATCTAATGACGTGAACTCTTTTGCAGTGAAATGAGAGGTCTAACCTGTCATATGCACTTAATAATGGTTAAGATGATGGCTCTTTGCAAACCTGGCACTTGAAGAAATTCCTCAATGAAGTGAATGTAATCTTGTGCTTGTGTTGGCAACTCTTCAAAGCTCCGCGCTGCCTCTGTACTGCAGCACCAACCGGGCAGGGTCTTATACTCTATCTCCACTTTGTTCAACACATCCATATTGGCTATGATTGGAATGAAAAAAAAAGTAAAAAAAAAACAAAACAAAAAAAACATTTAGTTTGTGTAAGTGTAACCAATTATAAGAAATTAAGTCTTAAGTGAATTGTTAGCATTTCATTAAGTAGTTGGCACTGAAAGAGCAGATCTATACAAATCAATACAACACAATTTCAAGAAAGGAACTTACCCGGAAAACTTGGAAGAGGCTTTCCATCAACGTTATAGGCCACGCCCACTTTGATCTCAGGTAACGTGTCCAAAATGTCCAACTTGGTCAGAGCAATTCTATAGAAAAAATGCCACTCAAGTTAAGGATGCATTGTATAACTTTTCTAGTGAGGGTCAGACAAATATTTTTCTCCATGGAGATTTTACTGCTTTGTCTGGAATGTTTCACAGTACAGTAGGGATGTAACGATATCCAAATCTCTCTCTCCCCTCTCTCCAAATACGATATTTTCACAATATGCATTTCACAGCACAATATTTACTGCGATATTTTGTGGAGGCTAACAAAATTGTGAATATAATACTTTTCTCTCGTTATATCCAAACAATTAAGATTTAAAAGTTTTAATAACTAATTTCAGCATGTAGATTGGACTGAAACAGAGCAAAGGATCATGGTCTATGTAGTTCTGTTTTCTTAGCTGCACCATAACAGTGGATTTAAGCAAAGAAACTTGTAATTCGATATAGTGATGGCCCACGGTATTACTGTGAGACTTTTGACAATACAATATTAATTACTGTTAGATCCCTAGTATTAAACCTTTCTACATCCTTGGCATTTTTGAGCTATAAAATGACCTATAACTGAATACATGTAAGGTAGAGCTGTTTAATGTCATGCTGTGAAACATTTCAGAGCAATGATGTATTCATAGAAACAAGCAGGTGACTCCCAATAAAAAAGCTACATAGTGCACCTTTAATGTAGAGGGATGTGATGTAACTTACGCAGAAAAGCCGTTGACCATGTGAGCATATCTGACCAAAATGAGGTCCAACCATCCACAGCGTCTCCTCCTGCCTGTCGTCACGCCAACCTCTCTGCCCCGGGACTGCAAGAGGTCCCCAATGTCCTACAGCACAAACGTAAACATGAGTGAACAATTGGACGATAGAATGAAAAAAAGCCTGGAATCCAACCACCTACATTATACCAGTGATTCCCAAAGTGAGGGTTATGAGGCTGGGGGGGGTCACGAGATGATTTCCAGATTTTTTTTTTTTTAATGAACAGAAAATAAACTAACTGGTCTGAGCCCAGATTTCCCTGATCTGGTCGGTCCAGTGCAGAGTCACATGGAGCATGCATGCTCCTCTAATATCTCACTCTCACACAATGATGTTATTCCGATTTTAAAACATGAACTAGCCTATGTGACTATATGACTCTAGGCCAGTTACAACTAAAGATAAATGCGCAAAATGAACCAGAGCTGCACAGCTGACCCTCATGTGGACCTACATGCGCTTCACTTTCCCCATATACGACTTTATATTAAAGGCAGCAGAGCAGGTTACCTGGGTAGAGGAGGAGGATTATGGCGAACTTTATAAACTATTTGTTTCTTTATGCAAAACACATACTCCACACCGGAGAATCCACATGTAGGACTATAATAATACCAGAGTGTTGTTATGTGCCGTCCATTTGACTCCAGCACCAGCACTACTGTATGGTGCCCAGTAGTGATGCGCAGAACCCACCTCATCTAACCAGAAATAAAATCCAACCGGACCCACTCCATCAGAACAAGTGGGTTCCCATGTTGGGACCTGACCCAACCCAACCCCATGCACATTAAAACTAATGTGTTGCGTGTCACTGCAGCTGGACATCATATTGTTTTAGTTTCCGTAATGTGTTAAAATCACCCTTTGTTTTACTATTTGTTTATTTAAGTGCACTGTTTAGGACCTGTTTGAAATGGCTCACGCACTCACAGGATTTAGTGCACATAGAAGATTTTAGTGGAGTTTAGGACTAAAGCACCTGGGTCATGGAGCAAGGAGCACGTGAAGCAGTGTGTACATGCTCTGGATATCTCCGTGACAAGCTTTATTTTTGCACCATGTTCATAAAGAGCTGAGATTAAGGAGATGAACACACCAAAGTGTATGCCTTTATAAAATAAAAAACCCAGTATCAGATTTGGCTTTACCTCTATGTGCTGTGTGTGTGCAAATGCACTCTTTCAGTATGGTGATATGCGTGCGTGGGTGTTGATTGTGGTGGGGGTGTAGTGAGGGTCGTAGGTCAGTCGCAGCCTAATTTTGGGGGTCACGGTCTTTTGATTGGGAACCCCTGCATTTTACTAGGGAGTGAGATTAAGTAATTTCCAGTAGTCAATAAAATGTTTGTGAGTAAAAACAACCAAGCTCTATAGCAAATCCTCTATCAGTAAAAGCATGTGGTTTGGAGCAGAATTCAGACTTCAGGAGAAAGATTTGTTGTGTTAAATGGTAAAGTTAAAGGTAAATTAAAAGTCTGAATTGACTTGGTTTGAAAAAACTTGTGAGGTATTTTATTACCCCATACATCAAAAACAAGCAATTGAAAACCCCTCAAAAGTGTTGGAGACAGTGTGGTGATTGGAGTGCCAGTCAATCTCATGTGTTTTGGAAATGTGTGAAAATTAAATCCTTTTGGGAAAAATATTGCAATTGTAATGGAAGTGGCATTTGGCTATAAAATACCCAGTGACCCACGGGTTATGTACTTGGGCTTGTTGCATGAAAACAATATTTGAACTGAGGACTTCTATTTGTTTAAAGTGATGCTCTTGGCTAGCAAGAAAGTAATAACAAGGAACTGGCTGAAGGATGACCCTTTGAAACTGCAGCAATGGACGGACATAATGGAGGAAATGTATGCGATGGAAAAAAATATTATCTATTATCTGAGAGTGAAAGCTGGTAAATGGTCCATTTAAAAAGCTCACTCCAATGTATAAGGTATTATATTTTTCTTTATTTTTTTTTGTAGAAAAATTATTTTCTACATTATATTACTTTGCAGAATTGTGAAAAAGAAAAGAAAAAAAGAAAGTCTATTGAAAAATCAAGATTTATCAGTGTGTGTGGAAGAATTTGTATTTTTTTTTATCCTATAGCCCAGCACAATATTATACTCTTCACATTAATATGTGTGAGCTGACCAGAAACATAGAACTTCACTAAAACAAACTGAATTAAGTAACGAACCACAACCTTCAATAATAATACAGTATCTGTGTGTTCTTGTGACCTATCTTTACTTACATTACTGAGCTCAGTTGGGAAAGCCCCTACTCCCACTCGGGTGGTGTAAGCTTTGACAACGCCGTAGACTCGACCCACGTGTGAAGGGGGGACGCCCAGCCCTGTGCAGACCCCTCCCACGGTGCAATTTGAGGAGGTCACAAAAGGATAGGTGCCTAAACAGAGGGTGTGTTAGCATACAGAAAGGAGTGAGGCTATAACAGCAGTTTGATTTGTCACTTACCAAAGTCAATGTCCAATAAAGCAGCATTAGCCCCTTCCACCAGGATCTTCTTGCTAGGTCCAGTTAGAGCTTTGTGCATGAAGTACACCCCATCAGTCACAAGGGGGCGCAGTCTCTCAGCATATTTCTGTCAAACACAATGGAAATACTCAAACTCTTTGTATTCAGTACAATGGAAAAGCAATCTGATGAGCTTTAGAAACACAGCATCTGAACAAAGACCCAACTATGAGATTCTGAATGTAATATTTGAACACATAATCAGCTGTTGTTACCTTCAGCTGCTGAAGTTCAGCCTCAATGTCAACATTCAGGTTTGGATACATCGTCAGGAAATGTTCTGCCAGCATCCGAAACCTGCAAATCCCCAGTGCACAATGTGAGGACCTGTCTACACATGTTTATCAGGTTTATAAAGCCCAACAACAACGCTAAAACAACTTAAGAGCCATGCATTACATTCAACTGTGGCCACCTGCTGGAAAATTTACAGTGAAGTGATAACAACATGATTATCTCATCTCCAAGATGAGTAGTCTGGATTCAACTAAGGTTAAGATTGTGTCCTATCTACGGGTTGTGAAACTTGTAACACTCAAAAAGATACAAAAACTCCCATATCAAGCAATCCACCATTTTCATCATAAATAATTAGTGTTGCAAAGACAGTTAAGACTCACTTCTCCTCAAAAATCTTGAAGTCTGACACAAGGTCACAAACCCGGAGCCCATTGCGAGCAGCTTTGGAGGAGTATGCAGGACCAATACCTTTCTTTGTGGTTCCAAGGCTGTAACACAAAGGTCAGAGGTCAACATTTAACCCACTTTCAGTTTTAAAACTAAGTGAAAATCACTGACTTTTTCCCTTCTTGTTGTTGCCGCTGCTGCTCCTGGATACCATCAACGGCTTGGTGAAAGTTGAACACTAACAGCAACAAATGTATGATGACACTTTTGACACACAGTGACATAGTATTTATTTAAACTATTCAATTAAGACTTACCAATGTGTGCACGATCAGAGATTTTTAGCCTCTCCTCCCATCCCTGTAATCCTGAAAAAAAATAAAATAATATTAATACACAGACACAATTATTTAATGTTCAAAGTAATTAGTAAAGACAACGTCCACTTTACCTCTGCCTTTTTGCAGGTTTTTCTCTGCCTCCTCAAACAGACCTGGCAGGTGAATCACCACTCCATTGCCTGGAACATAAACATTTTTGTAAACTGCAATTCATAATGTAACCAGAACTAAAATATGTAGTTCACATTTAGATAAACAGAAATCACACCAAGAAATAAATCCTTCTAATTACTGCAGCATTCATGTGCTCCTTGGAAACTCAGGGTTCCAAGATGAGAGTTTGGGGTTCCAACTTGTTTGCGTTCATGTGCATGTGCATTTATCCCAGAAAGTTGGGATTTTGATGTCACCAGTAATAAAATCACTGAGATGGCTCTATTACATATTATTTAATAGAGCTAAACATTAAGATATCATCCTATTAGCCATCTCAAAAGCTAAACGTTAAATGTTTTTATTTTACTTGAACTATAAGTAGTTGACGTTACATCTACAATTATTAAAACAGTAGTGTTGTTTTTTCCTTGCACAAATCTGTTGCTCTTATGATATGCACAAATGACGGTAAACCTCTAAAAATTACAGTTTTAGTCAAAGAGCTGAAATGTTTAAGACAAACTGAAAAATCAGTTGAATGTCATCTGTCTTTACCCAGCAGGTGACATCAGGTGTGGAAGTCCGGTTGCTCGTTTTCACCAGAGTTCCCAAGTTGCATGTGTATTTTTCAGCTCGGAAAAACATTTTCCCAAGACCACATGAACGCAGCATATGACCCCACAATCTCATACACATTTTGGTGATAAGACTTTGAGCAAATTTCCCAGAACTTTATTGTCACATGTTCTTCTGGCCAAATAAACAGGACCAACAATGTTATTTAAAATGCAGACCTAGCAGCAGATATTGTACACATTTTAGTGTTTTACCAATGAAAGAGACAGCCTTCTTATTGAGCACTCCGCTGGGCAACAGGTGGAAATCATACTCCACAGAGTCCACTACAACTGTATGACCTGCGTTGTTTCCTCCCTGCAAACAGATCAAACACATGACCCAAAAGAACAAGGCACATCAACAGTGCTTTGGCAATGTTCTTATGCAATTTTCGGTTCAGGGCCAATCAGGAGGAGCTTGTATTTTAATAAAAAAATCATGTATTGTCATATTACATAAGTGGACTTGTTATGACCTGTTCTGTGAATTCATTTGAAAAGTTTCCAAATTATACCACATTTTGTAGCTATTATTATCGTGACACTGAGAAACTTTTATTAAACAGTAGAAGTTTGGACCAATTTGGATAGCATAGCATACATTCCTGCTTCAGCTGTTGTAAAGGAGGAGGGGGAAGAACTGAGTGGCCATTTGTGCTGCAACATAACAGCTATAATAACAGAACACACCCGGCATTTAGCAGCCACATGGTATGTCGAGTTTATAAGCATAGAAAATGCTAAAGAGTCTCAAAAATACACACAATAAACAGAGTTAGCTTAGTGCTACAGTAGCATATAAGCTGAGCATGCACTTCCGAGAGGCGTCACGAATGGCTGTTGACGTCGTACGTAGGGCATGAGTGTATAACGGTGGCTAAATGGGCATTCAGTCCAACAAACCACTAACAAGCAGGAAATTACACAGATCTACACGAGAAAGTAAAATAAGTAGTAAAGCACAGAGCGTTCCTGTACCTGACACCTGCACACAATGTCCGCGTCCATAGCGAGCAGGTCCACTACTTTCCCCTTGCCCTCGTCGCCCCACTGGGCCCCGAGCACCACGGTCACTTTGTTGAGCGGCTCTTTCGGAGCGCGCAGAGCCGACTGCGACACGCTTTCCCGGGGTCGCTTCACCACCGGCTCCCCGTTCACCGATGCCGTCTTCCGTCCATTTAGGTTCTCCATTGTGCTTTCTGAGGCTGCCATGCTGCTGCTGTCCTTCTCTTAAACAAACCGGAATATCGTTTTACCGCGTTTCTGTGCGTCACGGGAAGTGTTTCCACGCGCACATGCGTCACCTGTGTTTGACCACTAGAGGGAGTGTTTCCTCTAAACAAGGGAACTGCCAATGAGGTATATGCTTAATGCCAGGCTATTCAATTTATTTGGTGGTCGCAAAAATATCAAAATCTGTCGAAATAATGATAATATAACAACTGCGAAAAATAAAATACAGAAGGATTTACCAACATCGCTGTGCTAAACTTCCAAATTAGTAGACCTACTGAACCGGAACTAGAGTATTAAAGGTTTACACCCAAGAACAAGGTAATGGATTGGATCTCGCTAAATAGTTATGGAACTAATTTATGACTCAGTTTATGACTACCATTAAACAAACAACAGACAGTAGTGTGGCCGTATATTGACCTGTTGACTGGCACCCCTTAAGTTCTTGACATTTGTGTCTGTGGGCCTGAGTTAGGACCGGAGCAGAACTGATTTCTTTTGGACAGGATTGTTAGAAAGCCCACTTCAAAAAAGTTCCAGAATGAGTTTTGTTGGGTGTAATGAACCACTGGGTTAAAGGAATCAGTCATTCTATAAACTACTCGGATAGATGTAGGCTAGAGGTTAATGCAGTGACCTACAAAATACTGGGGATTATTAAACATGGCCTACTAAAAATGACATATTACTCTTTTCCCCGCTAAAACTTAGGCTCACTAAAAAGGAAAACAAAACATGAAAAACATTACAAATACATTTTGTGCCTTTTTGTTGATCTTTTGTGTCTATAGCAAATAATAATATATAATCAACTCCTTTCTTCCCCGACTAGAATCTTTTAGAGGTAAAGGAAATACAAAGTGTACATTCCAGTGTTAAATTTTTAAATAGTTTTATTTCAAATATTATGCTTTATATACATTCTGTTCTAAACAAGCAAAAGTAAGGACACAGTACTTAATTTTAAATGTTTCTAAAATCACCATCTCTTTTTTGAGTATGCTCTTAACTCACATGCGTTTAGTGGGACACGCACAGCAGTGGCCTACAGAACTGACAGGCAGCCATGTAAAACACTGGCTGTCAATTCATAGGTCATCACCTCGCAGCCCTGATCCCATAGTACCATATAAAAAACATATAACCGCATATTATACATACACATTATATACTACTGATGGTGGTTGTTTTTGATGTCTCTCTGCAGGTAACAGCACCTCCACTGGAAACATCTCATCTTCCACATGGAGTTGCTGTTACATCCAGCCAGCACCAGAAGAATAAGCCCATAACTGAAGCACATATAAGATATTGGAGTCATCTTCACAAACCTCTCCAAATCTTCATCTAGGCTGGAGGACACAGAGCAGAGCAGGGCAGATACAGGTGACTGTGAGCCAGGAGACAATGGAGAGGCTTTAGTATCCGTCTTGCCTCCGACTTTGACCCTGGCTCCTCCTCCCCTGTTTATTGCCTGTAGTATTCAGCATCATTGCTCACACTTCTGCACCAGTGCGGCCAAAGGGCCAAGGCCTGTGCTGATAACGCTGGTTTTATGATGGTTGTCAACACAAGGCTGTGTTTCAATATGTGAATATCAGGGTGTGTCTGACCTGTGGACCTACAAGCTCTCTGCTTCCTGCTCTCTCTGAGACCTCAGCAGCACTGAAACATGGGCCTTTTCTCAACTGCATTGGCTACGTTAACTGTCAGAATGTAATGAAAGTGTAATTATGTCCAGGCACAATCCTGAAATGAAAAAAAAACCACATTGAAATATATTATTATTATTATTGTAGATGTCTACATTGATTGCATTTCACCTTAATTTAACTGAAAATGCCAACACTCGTGGTACGAATATATACAGAATTTGTTGCGCTAAATGGTTTACCTATAACAACTTCTTATTTCTTGTTTAAGTACGACTAGCACTACCTACAAATAGCTTGCACTTTCCTTAAACTACACTTTTCCATTAGCTTTTTTTTAAACTGCGTTTTGTTTTGGGTCATTAACCCTCACCCTTTGACCATCTTTGGTCAAATCCAAAACAATTGACATTGTAAACGTATTAGCCCTGAAATAACCTGAGTGTACTCACCTTGGGTGCAGCATGTGGCCAGCGGACAGAGCCTCTGAAGACCATGCAGCATATTGTACTCAGAGACCTTCATAGCCCCCCGTAGCCCACCCAGAGGAGCTAGAGACGAGAACAGAGACAGCAGAAAGCCCAATACACACACATGACTGGTCTGAAGTGCTGATTTGAGCAGGGACAGTGCAGTAATGGCAGTGGAAGAGAGCAGCCAGTTTAAGAGATCATGAGTTGGTGGCAGGTTAATGATTAGACTTGTGGTCAATATTTAACAGGCCCTGCGCCCTGCCCCTCGGTCCAACATCCTGATTCCACAGTGACACACAGGGCAGGGCATCTCTTTTGTCCAAAATATATTGGATAATTTAGCAAGACTACCACAAATAGCACTTACAGCAGTCTGTATAAAATTACAGTGTTGGGGGATGAGTGCGCTTGAACAAAAGCTCATTTAGCATTGTCCGACCTGTGAGACTTGGCATTGACACTTCACACAATTACAGGAATCAGCAAATATGAAACTCAACGGTATTAAGCAATGGCACCCAGTTTAATGACAGCCTCATAAAACAATGATTGTATGTGGTAAAGATAGAGTCATTACAGACAGCTTTTATGAGTAAAAAATTTTATTATATTAGTTTAGTTTATATAGTACAATGAGTATGGAATGTCAAGATCAATAATAGTGATTTCAGATGTCATATTTTAATCAAGAAGAAATTATTTATATTGCACTTTATACTTCAAAATAGACAGTTTATGGTAACAGCATCTGCAAGGTCATACAGGTCATCTGCAGTGGTTCATAACATATTAAACGTTTAGCTTTTTATGCCAAGTTTACTTTTTTTGCCAATTAAATTACAATATGTATTTTCAATGGCATTATTCTTATAGTAGCAATACTGTTTGTTCGATTCATGAGATTTTCAGATTTTGAAATGGCTGGATGACTCAATTTACCAATCCCATAAATGAACTGTGCTGCTCTAACCTTTGCACGTGACAGCTGATAACTGTGGACCAGATCAAACCATTTTAATGTTTCAAAATAAATATGTTTTGCGTAAATATAGATATATTAAGAAATATTAACTGTATGCTATGGCCTTAAATACACAACTTATAAAAATATATTAATATATTAAGATATGCAGGCCAAAACCAAAAACATATACAAAATTATTTATGGGCCAGAATGGGTCTCAAGATTAACCTCATGAACCTTTCTTCGTATTACATCTTCCTGTAGTACACCAACGGAATCACAGCATTGCACATTTTGTGGTTATAAAAACTGACTTCAGACACATGAGACACATGAAAACATTTACATTTTGTCGGACACAACTTCAAGCCAATGAAATCATAGCATGTTAACGTCTGTGGCTCTTATACGTGAGCTATCTTATCTCAAGTTCATGGGATTGCTGAGTGCAGAGTCCAGTGTCTTGAAGAGAGAGGGCCCAACTCCAGATAAAGCCGTTCTTTTGAATACACTTCGGTCATAATCATTTCTACTGCAGATAACTGCTTCAATTTGCTGAATAAGACATTATCTGGTGCTGTGCAAGGTCACAAACAGCCCTCAGAAGCACACTGATCTCAATTCAAGAATCATTTACTCATGTTTATGACAAAAGTCAACAGTGGGAACACAGGAGTTCAGAATGCATTTAATCGTTGGGTTTTGTAATTAATACGAATGTTTTATATGAACAAATGGAAAATGAACAGTGCACCACAAGATGACTAGTTCCACTCTATTATGGCAGCATACTTTTTTTTTTTTTTACTGTGGAGACACTGATTAACTTCATTAATTATCAGGTACCATAGTGTGACAGTAGTGACTCCAGTGAAAACTGCTGTAATGCTCTTAGGCAAGACACTTGACTTCACCCACATTGCCTAGTATGAGAATGGTATATATGTGACTGTTGGTGGTAATTGGAGGGGCCAATGGTGCAGACAGGCAGGCTTGCTTCCGTCAGTTTGCTCCCAGGGCATCTGTGACTTGTGTGTCTTGGAAGACGCTGTATTTGTTTTTATAGGTTACATACAAAATCTGAGTAGTAACAAGTAGTACAGATACATCTCATGTCCAACAAGTAAAATTCTTCTATTTTAACATTACACTTGACTTGAACAAATTCACATAAATAGTTCAAGTAAGTTCAGTTCAGTTTACGTGACAGACACGGTCTTATGCATTAGTCATTACAGTACAATCAGAAGTGTTTACAGAATCAAAGACCTTCAATCCATCTGCCATAAATTGAATTTTTATCAAGGCAGTGCAGTAAACACCAAGCACTGCCCATATCTGTGACAGTAAAAAGTATCACATAGTCATTTCCTCAATAGAACTAGGATAAAGTACATAAAGAACACTTTATGTGATTGGTGAGATTTACTGGAAGGTGCTTGGGCTGGTGCCAGATTTTCATATTTCATAGTTGGATTGTATGTGGCTTCTAGCACCCTCTGTGGTCACATGTGTGCAATGCAAGAGCATCAACCTCTAAGTCACACAAAATGGTCAACTTTTAATCGTTTTCATCATCTCGTGGTATCATCTCATTTTACTCTACGGCTTAAAAAGACAGTTTTTTTTTTTAACTTAATTTTAGCTGACATTAAAAAATAATTGTCTATACTTTGTTTATTGACTACTTATTCAAGCAAAAAGCAGACATGTTGAAACAAACATTTTATTTAAACGAAACAAAGAGAAAGACTGGTACTTTTGTTTAAGCCTTGATTTAATTTCATGTTATTGACCTGCTACAGTTGAACTACACAAAGTGAGCGCCGGTGGCAAAAACTCATGTGCTCAGAAAATGGTGGTTGCACTTCCGTCAGTACGGGAATAACAAGAGGAATTATTAAAAAATAAATAAAACAGAACTAGTTTGATCTGGTGCAGAAACTGATAAACATTTGACTGAAAGACTTTAT